AAAAAAAAAAAAAAAAAACAGAAGCAAGCTGGGTGTGGTGATACACCTATAAATCTCAGACTCAGAGCCTGAGGCAGGAGAATCTCCCTGAGTTTGAGGCCAGCTTAGGCTATGTGGCGAGTTGGATGCCAGCCTGAACTACATAGCAAGACATCATCTCAAAAATATAGAAAAAGGGCTGTTAAGATAGCTCAGCAGACTAAGTGCTTGCTTAAGCAAGAGCAGGGACCCAGGTTCAATCCCGTGTACCACATGCCGTGGTATCAAGACCAAAAAAAAACATTTTTCCTTTAACCACAGATTTAATTTTTGTTTCATTTTAATGATTGAAATTGTGATGTGCTTCAACTGTATAAAATACAGAGCACATTTCTTTCTTTCTTTCTTTCTTTTTTTTTTTTTTTTTTGCCATACCAGGGATTGAACTCAGGCCCTTGTGCTTGCCAGGGAAGCGCTTATTCCACCGAGCCATCTCCCAGGCCCTAATATTTCTTATAGAATGATAATATGCTATTATATTTTATTGAAGTGATAATATTTTGGCTTACTATGCTGGGTTTTTTACTTTTTAAAATATAGCCACCACTGGGCTGGGGAGATGGCTCAGTGGAATAAGCACTTCTCTGGCAAGTGCAAAGGCCTGAGTTCAATCCCCGGTTCCACCAAAAAAAAATTAAAAAATTAAATATGGCCACCAGAAACACCCAAATTAGGCGCGGCTGTACTCTCCCCTGATGGCGGCAGCAGTGACTTGGGCAAGGCGAGTCCATGACTGAAGTGCGAACCTGGCGGGCGTGCACCGAGCCCGGCTGGCCCAGTCTCTGCCTGCCTTCCGGCTTCTTCTCCCTGATGCTGCACTGTTACTGAGCTCACCTAAGCCGTGACAATGGTAAAGTATTTCCTGGGCCAGAGCGTGCTCCGAAGTTCTTGGGACCAAGTGTTCACTGCCTTCTGGCAGCGATCCCCGAATCCCTACAGACACGTCTTGACGGAAGACACAGTACACCGGGAGGTGACCCCTGACCAGAAGCTCCTGTCTCGGAGACTCCTGACCAAGACCAACAGGCTGCCTCGCTGGGCAGAGCGATTGTTTCCTGCCAACGTTGCTCACTCGGTGTACATCCTGGAGGACTCTATAGTGGACCCACAGAATCAGACCATGACTACCTTCACCTGGAACATCAACCATGCCCGGCTGATGGTGGGGGAGGAACGACGTGTTTACCGTGTGAACTCGGACGACAGCGGCTGGACTGAAATCCGTCGGGAAGCCTGGGTCTCCTCCAGCTTATTTGGCATCTCCAGGGCTGTCCAGGAATTTGGCCTTGCCCGGTTCAAAAGTAATGTGACCAAGACTACGAAGGGTTTTGAATACATTTTGGCCAAGCTACAAGGCGAGGCCCCTTCCAAAATACTGGTGGAGACAGCCAAGGAAGCCAAGGGGAAGGCAAAGGAGACAGCACTGGCAGCTACAGAGAAAGCCAAGGACCTCGCCAACAAGGCTGCCACCAAGCAGCAGCAGCAGCAGCAGTTTGCATAGCTGGTGTGGGCCCTGCCACCAGCACCGCCACAGGTCACCAGCCAGCATGGCACCGCTCCCTCTACACTCTCCCCACTGTACTTTATTATTAAAAATCAACTTGCAAAAAAAGAAAAGAAACACCCAAGTTCCTTGGTACCACAGGAAAAGAAAGAAAGAAAAAAAAATGAGAAACACCCAAGTCATGTATGTGGCTCACTGGTACGTGCACTGGAAGGCCCTGCTTCAGAGCTGTGCCATCCACTATGGTAGCCGCCAGCCACGTGTGGGCATCAAATTGAATTAAATTAAAATCCGGTTTTCCCCACAGCGCTAGGCTCTTCCAAGTGTTACCCACCACTGTATGACTTATGCACGGCTTTTTTTTTTTTTTTCAATAGAGTATTGCTGTGTATAGTTCAGGCTGGCCTCAAACTTGCGGCAATCCTCCTGCCTCAGCTTCCCAAGTGCTGGGATTACACCAGCACTACCGTGCATCTCTAATTTAATTGGTCAGTGACGAGACAGATCATTCCTACTTCCCAGAAAATTCCATAGGATAACGGTGCTCTGGAGTTAAGTAGAAACCAATTCTAGGTGTATTTCTAAGGTGGATGCCGAGCACACTGCCGTGGCCACTCACACTATTTACTAAGTAGTTTTCATGAAATCAGTGGTTAATTGACTACATGTGCCTCTGTCTCTGACTGTCTCTGTCTGTCTGTCTGTCTCTCTGTCTTTCTGTGTGTCTCTCTGTCTCTGTCATCTGTCTCTCTGTGTGTGTGTGTGTGTGTGTGTGTCTCCCTCTCTGTGTGTGTCTCTGTCTCCCTGTCTGTGTGTGTGTCTCTGTCTCCCTCTCTCCACTGGGGATAGACCCAGGGCCTCTTTTTGTTGTCATCTTCCACAATAACTCTCGTGACATCACACTGAATGTGTTACACATTTTTATCTGCTGCTAAAATTAAAACATCTGTCTTGCGTTCCCCCATCCTCTTTTTGCCCCCTTCCAAATATCCCCGCCAGGGCACAATCTGCTAACTTCCCCTTCAGCACACTCTGGCAGCCTTGCCCTCCCATCCTGGACAGGGCAGGCTCCGTGCTAAGTGGGCAGAGATCAAGAAGGCTGCTCTGAGGCCACAGGTGTGCAAGAGCAGGAGGAGGCACTGCAGAGCCACTGGTTAAGTCTGGGCACAGTGGCACACACCTGTAATCTTAGGCCACAGGGAGGCTGAGACAGGAGGACCAGAAGTTCAAGTTCCACCTGGGTAACTTAGCAAAACCCTGTCTCAAAACTTTAAAAAAAAAAAAGATGGGGCTTGGAGATGTAGTACCCATAAAAATGAAAAGGCCACCCAGGGACAAAAGATCAGGTACAGGGCCTGGACTTAAAAGGTGGGGAACAGGGCTGGCGAGATGACTCAGTGATCTAAAGCACCTAAAGCACCTACTTGGAACAAGCTCGGCAAAGCACAGGGACCGCGGTTCGATCCCCCGACACCACATGCCAGCCAGCCCCGCCCCCTGGTGGGCTGAGCTGGCCACACACACAATAAATAAATAAATGTTTTGTTTTTTTTTTTTTTAAAAGGTGGGGAACAGGGGCCAGGGAGATGGTTCAGTAGAATAAGCACCTGCCTGGCAAGCACAAGGTCCTAAGTTCAATCCCCGGTACAGGAAAAAAAAAAAAAAAAAAAAAATTGAAACAGTGGAGAACAAAATGGAAAGGCCAGAAAGCAAGAAAGTGGGAGTACAGCTGGGAGTACCAGAGCCATTGGTCCTGAGTAGCAGGCTCCCTAGAGCTTGCTCTGGGGCCCAAACCATCAGCTGGAGCACCCTGGGAGCAGCATCAGAGCACGGCCTGGCCCTGGGCCCCAGCAGAGCACCTCCTCCTGGCGCAGAGGCAGCCATGGCTGCGATCTGAGCACTACAGAATGCTGTTTTGCATATGATTTGCATGTTCCTCCTTTAATTTCAGGGAGCAGGATAAAGCATGGGAACTAGGCACTGGGAATTAGAACTATCCTATCTTCTTCCATGATGCTCTGGGCCTCAGTCCTCACTGCTACCGGCTGGCCTCTGTGTGGGGTATCCTTTCCTCCATCTTCCTATCAGGCAGACTCCTCTCACCCTTCAGAGTCCAGGGGGTCCTTCTGGCCCTCCCCCCATGCATTTCAAGTCCAGGGCCCTCTCCTCCCCAGCTGCCAAAGTCTCCCAGACTTCTCCCACCCATGACCTTTGACGGTCACTAGCAGCTCACTGCTCCTGCCCCCGCCTTGAGCTTGCTGATGGCAGTGAGTGTCTCCTTCCCATGCACCACAGGCCTAGCTGGTGCCCAGTATGGAGGCGCTATATTTAGTTAGCTGGGTGAATGAATGAGCTGAGGCACATTCAGTACAGAATAATCAGAAATGGGTCCACACCAGCAGAAGGCAGGAGGAGAGGGCTAAGGAGAAGTCTGACAGCCCTGCGCTGTGTCCTTGGGGTCTCCCTCTCTAAACTGGAGTTTCCTGGGAACCTTGACAGGGAGACTTGCTCAGGGCATTTCTCCAGAATAGGGAGGGCCCAAGACCACCCCAAGAGCAAGGCTCAAGGTCCTAGAGCAGGCAAGGCCAAGGAAGAACACACTGTCAAGTCTCACAGGGGCCAACCTTGGGAGAGAGAACAGAGATGTTCTGCAGGGCCCCTCGGACAGAGCCAAGGGGGTGGCTGAAACAGCAGGCTTTGGTGCAGGATGCAGATTGATCAACCAGAAACAAAGGTGGAACAGGCAGCTCTGGGAAGTTTGAGCTCTGTTCAGCGGGGACTCAGACTCGAGGGCTGATTCTCCTCCGCGTGGAAGACACTGGAGAACCCAGTGGAAGGGAGGGCTGGGTCGGATGGTCCATCAGGTCCCTTCCAGTCTGGGAGTCCAAAACCAGTCAATGAGCACCTGCTATCCCCCGAGCCAGGACCAATCCTCAGGGGAGCTGGGCATCATCTCCAGTCTGGAGATGAGACAGATGACAGCTCAGCTCTCTTAAGGGCTCTGCCTGACACCTGGGCAAGAGACAGAGCAGGTACCTCCTTTGGCCAGCCAGCCCAAACTGGAAGCACTCGTGTCAAATGTTTGAGAACACTGATTTCAAGTCAAGCTGGTTTCTTCACTTTGGGACTTCTCAGAGCCTCTACCATCATACCATGCCCTGTGAAGCATCTCCCAAACTGTTCTTTTCTCCATGGACCAACTTTTTTTTTTTTTTTTTTTTTTTTTTGTGGATTGAACTCAGGCCCTTGCGCTTGCCAGGGAAGCGCTTATTCTACTGAGCTATCTCCCTGGCCCTCCATGGACAAACTCTTGATGTGTCACAGACCTAGAGATCAGGTAGACGCCAGGAGACCCTGGGGTAAGGGAAAGAGTCCGCAGCAGGACACAGGTGATGTTTTCCCAGCTCTAACACCCGCCGTAATTAACACGGAAGCTGGGATGTTTCCTCCCTCCGGCCTCAGTCTCCCCATGTGTGAAATGTGAGTGCCTTCCCTGTTAGGATGTACACATGAGCCGCCAGTGTGACCCCAAAGAAGCCAGGAACTGTCACATCACTGTTATCAGACCCCGAGGGGGGAAGAGACAGGTTAGACCAAAGATAGAGGGTGTCCTTTTCTCAGAGCAAAGCTGGGCCCAGGGCCTTCTGCAGGAGCAGTGACCAGCAGGGTCTTTTTTTCTTTTATCTCAGAATTTATTTTATTTTATTTTACTTTTATCAATTCTATTGCAGCAGGGTCTTTTCTCCACTACCACTGGCCCTAGGAAGGATGAAACCAAGATGGAAAAGAGGATTCTGCTTGCCAGGCTGAAAAGGTCAGTAAGTTCAGATCAGGGCCTTGGAGGAGGGATCTAAAAGGGGGTCCAGAGGAAGAGGTGGAGGAGACCTGGAGTCTTAGAAGGAAAGGGGGTGGCTAGGAGAAGCAGCTAGGTCAGGGTGGAAGGCAAGTAAGTGGTCCTAGGCCTGGAGTTCTCTGGGGAGTGTGCTGGAAGGGACAGGATTGGGGCCAGTCTTGGGGTTGGGCTAAGGGGAAACCTGGACACAAATTCAGAACAACCTGTTGCTATCCACCTGTGCCCCTCACATCGAAGGCCTCCTCCTGGCTTGGGGCCAGTGCTGGCTGTCCCTTCAGGTGGCCCCGCACCCAACCCGCCAGTCTGGAAGGCGGGTGCTCTCACCTCCACCAGCGGGTAGGCGATCTCGTTGTAGATCTGCTCCGTGAAGTGCTCCATGTAGTAGGCGCCATCGAAAGTGAACTGCTTGGGGGGCTCATTGGTGGCGCCCGGGTTCTGGATGAAGCACTGACCCCGTGCGGAGTCCACCGTCACCACGGACTGACAGTTCAGCTCCCGCTCGCGCTGGTTCATGGGGCGACAGCGCACCACCACCTTCACGGACTCTGCGGCCATGACACTTGCCCCTGGGGCTCAGGAGGGGCGGGGCGGCTCGGGGCGTGGGGGATGGGCCTCCTACGGGGCGCCCGAGAGGAGGACGCGGGCCGCGGGCCGCGGGCAAGTTCCTAAGGCCGGGCCCGGGTGGGGGATCTGCGCTACAGGCGCCGCCGCCGCCGCCGCCGAACCTGAGCCCCGAGCCACCAGGCGGCTCTCTCGCACGCACACGGTTGCGGCGTTTGCCGTTGCTAGGCAACGCCCTTAACGTCATAAGTGCGGTTCAGTGAGCCTCAGCCTCGCGATCCATCCCTCCGGGGGCTGGAGATGCGAGCGTGAGCCCGTGTTAGGCTTCTCAGCTCAGAGCTCAGCGACTTTGCAGTTTGCCCATGTGGCTCGGAGGGCAAGCTCACAATGAACCTCGAAGGCGGAGAGACCCAAGAAGGAAGCCTCTATCAGAAATTAAGAGGCTCACTGGAAGGGCAACGAGAACATTGATCTCCTTGTACTGATTCAGGGGGAGGCTGTCCCCAGCCTACAACCCCGCGGATAATTGATCCCACTCTCATTTTCCTGGGCCTTAAGATGCTGAGACAGGGGCCGGGGAGATGGCTCAGTAGAATAAGCGCTTCCCGGGCAACAGCAAGGGTCTGAGTTCAATCCCCAGTTCTGCCAAAAAGAAAAAAAAAAAAAAAAAAAAAGATGCTGAGACAGAGGTAGGATTATAAATTCGAGGCCAGTCTGGGCAACATAAACATTTACCGAAATAAAAAGGGGTCAGTGGTACAGCGCCCCTGAATTGGGAACCAGAATTGGGGGGTAGGAAGCTGAAATCCCTGAGTGTCAGTTGCAGGCACTGCGACAGCTGCTGGAGAGAGAGCCCTCCCCAAGGCCACAGTCTGGGGGGGGGGGTGATATTGAAAACAGAAATCCTAGAAAGTGCTATAAATGAAAACAGTACAAACTGAAGAACCAGTTTTGTGGAACATCTAAAAAAGTAGCGTGGGCCTAGGCCAGTAATGGAGAAGCTTCTAGAACTTTCAGGCATCCTGAGACTGACTAGCACTGCACTATGACAGCCCAGGAGTTAACCAGGCTGAAGTTCACCAGTGTCCTGTGGCATGTTCCAGAAGCAGAAGGCAAGCCGAGCTGCCAAAGCTCGTGGTCTTGAATGTTTCTCCCGCAGGAGATACTGCTGCAGGCTTCAAGCAGAAGGGGCAGGGTTTGATTAAGCCCACCCAATTCCTTCAGAATATGGTCAGCCCCCAGGAGCAGGACCTCACCACTCCGTACCAGCTGAGGGTTTATTTTATGATTAGAAACACAGGCCAGGCAACCTGAATGAAGACCAGGCCTTTCAAGGAAAAGTCTGCACTCAGCAATGTGAAGAAATGCATTTTATTTGTCTCTCAGTCCACACAGTAAGGAAAGGCGGGCTTCCTAGGTGGTGCCAGTTGGAGCAAACACAATACTGTGGTCTGTTGGTATGACATGGGGAGTCCATACACACGGGCAAAACCCTTGCCCTATTGGTAACTCGTGATGCACAAATGCTGCTTGGAGGAACACTAGCGGGCTTGCTGAATACCCCCCTTAGATTGTCCTCAGCATACTCTACGCCCCCACCTCCCAAGACAGCCTGGTCCAAGCGCTGGTCAACTGCCAGGCTTCCTTGAGTGCAGGTCTCTACTCTCCCTGGCAGGGGAGCAAGGCCAGAGCTTCCCCCCGAAACCAGAGCTCAGGCGGGGAAGGGTGGGCTCCAGTATAGGCGGCCTTGGGAGTATCAGCTGCCCCTTCACATTCAGCATGAAGTCAGTGCTATGCGTCTAGTGGAAAGAGCCCCCAAAGGACATTCCTCTAGCCCTTCTGGCACCTGACTCAAAGGGACAAAGTCTCTAATCAAGACTGTGGTGGGGGCTGGTGGTGGGAACATCAGGCATGCCTGCTCCCCTCCAATCTGCTGTGGCTGCCCTCCTCCTGCCCAGAGTCAGAAATCTGTTCCCTCCAGGGTGCTGACCAGCAGACCCTATATCTGAGGGCAGAGAGTGGTTCTGAGACTCATAACCCAGCCTTTGTCTCAGGAATACAATTTTATCCAAAATGAACTTGTCCCGTGGCTTGGCTGGGGAGGTTTATTATTTACCTGCCAAGTCTTACAAAGGTGATGCCTAGACTCCTCAGGACTGGCAGGGCCACCTCCTCCCACTAGATGGCTTCCCCAGTTCTCCCCTGCGCCTGCTGAAGTCCAGCTCCCTCTGACAGGGTTCTCTACCTTTGGAGTCTCTGTTCTGTCACATCCCCACGGGACTGGCCTGGTGAGACAGGTGGCCCCTGACACCATGGCCAGGCCTATATCAAAGGACACATTCTAAGTAGCCACAAAACCATTGTGGTCTGCAGGGTAAGCTGGGCAGGACAGCTCTGTGCTGGGCCCTCCCGGGTGAATAGCCCAAGGAAAAGAGCCAGGGGCTGGGACTCCCACTTCACAGGTCTGGTTTCTAGGCAGGAGTCTCCAGAGCCTCCCTGGTAGGGGCCAAGGTCTGGCCACCTCTGAAGAGGGCTACACTACTCCCGTGAAAAGCTCTTGTGCAAGGAGCAAAGCATTAGCTTGCAAGAGAAGCATCACCCATCACCTTGAAGTTCGGGGAAGCCTGGAGCTCCACCTGCTCCTAGGATCTCAGCAAGCCACACATCCAACCTCAGGGCTCCCATACAGCAGGCAGTGAAGCGATGGAAGACTGGTCCAGGGATAGAGACCGATGGAACTGGCAGCCGGTGGGGTGTGAGAAGGACAGAGCAGCTCCTGAGGCTGGAGCCAGGTCCAGGTGGGGCTGTGGTCGGGGCTCACTTCCTAACCTAGGCCCAGCAGTTCTGCCTCAGACTTGGCATGGCTGAGGGGCCGCAGAGTCCGGGGGGGCCTGCTCTCGGGCCCACAGTCCTGCTCCTCGTAGGTGGGGTTCAGGCGGCCCATGTCCAGGGGGCAGAATAGACTGCGTTCCATCCCAGCGTGGTTCTCCACCAGGGCCTCCAAGCTGGGGAACTCTGCTGGCAGGTGCTGGAGAGGAAGGATCCTCAGCTCCAGGCCCACCCCATGGCTCAAACAGGACCCCAGCCACCCCCACACACACACACACACACTGGAGAGCAGGAATGAGCTGAGAGATCAGACAACCCCTCCCAGCTCTCCTCCTGGCAAGGCTGATACTTGACGGGACACAGAGGCTGTGAGAGCTCAGCACCTTCCTCCTCTGCTAAAAATGGTCTAGACTCTAGAGCAAACTTTGGAAAAGCCAGATTTCATATAAAAATGTGAGGTATTATCTAGGCCTGACTCCATTTGAGGCTCCCTCCAAAAGCTACTTCTAAAAAGGGGCTTTTCCCCTCAGTGACCTGACACCTCCCTGAGGCTCCAGGTCACAGCCTGCAGAGCAGGGCCAGGGCCAAGTGGCCCAGGACCAATGAGAAGGAGCAAGTCAGCACAGGCAGGATGCAGAGTGGGTAAGAGGTGGGGCCAGAGGTCCATGGGAGCAGGATAGGCCAGATCAAGGGGTCAGAGAAGAAAGGGCTAGGAAGGACAAAGGGCGGGTGTGATGATGGGGTAGGGCCAGGACCAGGCCACTCACCCCTGGAGGCTCCCAGGCTCTTACCTCCAGGCAGTACCGGCCCACGTGGTTCCGGAAGACCTGGTGGGGCACCACACCACACTGCGTACGCACAGACAGGCACCACTGGCCGCTGGTACCAGGCTCTGGCCACAGCAAGAAGGCACCAACCACATCCTTCCGCAGCAGAGCGAGTGCACAGGCCCTGGGACACAAACAGTAGAGGCTTACATTAGGAACCCTAGTCAGAAGCCAGTCTCAGGCTGCTGGCCCTGGCATGGATGTAACAGCCCAAAGGCATGGAAGCAGCCTGAGGATTAAATAAATGCCCTTAAAAACACAGGGTCTGACCTAATGTGGCCATTCAGTGCAAAGAAGCTCTCAGGAACTGAAGGGGGCCTACATGCCTGGTGTGCTCGCTCACACACCCCTATGGTGCCAGCACTCTGGCAGGCTGAGGCAGGAGGGTGACAAGTTTGAGTCCAGCCTAAGGCAACTGAGCAACTCAACAAGACCCTGTCTCCAAATTTTAAAAAATAAAATAAAATAAGCTGGTGGTTCAATCCCAGTAAGGCAAAAATAAAAGGAGAGAGAGAGAGAGAGACAGACAGACAGACAGACAGACAGAGAGGAGACCCTACAGGTCCTTAATTGTTGGAAATTTCAAGATCCCATCAGGAGAGAGGGATAAAGAGGTGACATCCAGGGCTACCTGACCCTGTGACAGGCCAGGTACTGAGGGCTTCACCTATCATATCATGTGATCTTTCCACAGCCTGTGAGCATGGTCCCATTATACACATTTTACGATTGAGAAAACTAAGGCCCAGGATGAAGAAGCCCTGGCCCGAGGTCCCCGAGGCTGGCAGCACTCTGTCCATACACAGGGGCGCAGATACATCAGGGGACTGGGCATCAGGCCAGACTAGGTCCTTCCTACCTTGAGAGGCCAGCGAAGGCCCAGATGTTTTCCGTTAGGCTCCCCTCGATCTCTACCAGGCACGGAGGGCCACCAGGACTGCGGGGCCAGGCCTCCCATGCAGCAGGATCTATGGAGACCACTCAGGGTCAGAGGGAAAGGGACCAAACCCTCCTCTGACTGGCCTGGCCTACCACCTTGGACTCTCACAGCCCTGTCCTCTCCCCAGGCTCCACCCAGCAGGCCTCAGCTCCTCCCCCTCCCCCTCCATAGCCCCCACCCCCGCTCACACCCACTCAGCAGTAAAGCTGGTACAGCTGCACAGTAACTGTGCAGGCCTCAAGCGCACAGCCTGCAAGCGTGCACACCCAGGCCGCTGACGCATGCACAGGCTGCACCCTGACTCACAGGACTCTCTCGCTGACAGCTGCAGCTGGGCCTCATAGGTGCAGCCCCGGTAGGCGCCTGAGCGGATCACCTTGCTGCGAATGGCCTTCTTGCGCACCAGTGTGGGCGAGCAATAGGGGTTCCCCAGGCGGGCATGGCGGGCACTGCGGCCTTCTAACTCAGGCAGCTCCTTCTAGGGCACCAAGAGGGGTAGTGGGCAGGCAAATGCAGGCCCAGCCATGCCAGGCCACATCCCTCAAGCCCAGCCCTCCACCATGACCTCGGAGCCCCTGCCCAGTGGCCTTGTGCATGCCCATCCTGGCCCGGGTGCTGCATACCCCGCTAGCGCCCCCTAGCTCCTCTGCTGGCAGCCGCCGCAAGGAGACCAGGGCATGGACATTCTGCGTGAGCTGATGATGGTTGAAAGGCTCCCGCACCAGGGTAGCAGGGCCCCCAAGGCTGGAGAGAGGTTTCAGGGACAGGTCCCCTGCAGGCCCAGGGGAAAGGTCAGGCTGTGCCCGCTCTTCAGGGTGCTGCAGGAGGTAAGCAAGCTGGAAGGAGCGACAGAGCAGCAGGTACAGGATCTGCACCTAGGGCAGAAGGGCAGGCTCAGCTGGAGGACATTCCCTGGGGCTCCCCAGGCACCTGCCTGCTCTCCAAGAGTGCATGCAGCCCCTGAGCTTAGGGAGCCCCTCTTTCCCTCTTGAGAAAACGTCTAGTTATCCCTCAAAACCTTCCCGCCATGCAGCCTCCCGACCAGCCTTCCTTATTTATTTCATGGATACCAAGCACCTGCTTCATGCAGTACACCTGCTGGGGCACAGAGTCACTCTCTGGCCATCACTTAGGAACTACACTGTGACCCTGATGCAGCATGGCACCCCGTGTGCCTATTTCCTCATTTGCACCTCCCTGTGTCCCTTTGAGGAACACAGAAAACTCCCACGCAAATCCAGCAGCTATTGGAACTGGAATAGCTGCCAGCTTACTGGAACCCTGAGCTGCAGCCACCTGTCACCCCAGTGTCTGGCCACCCAACAGTGACAGCAAATGCTCACTGGACGGAATGCCCCCAACCTCTGCTGCAAACAGCTGTGGTTTACACTGGCTCTGATTGCCAAGTCTATCTAGCCCAGACTCAACCCGCCTGCCTGCCCGCACAGAGCCAGACAGTACAAGCCCTGGCCCTAGGCTCTATGCTCAGAGAACCCAAGCACCAGTGTTTATCGAAGCTGGAGTGCTCCTGTCAAAGGCTCTGTGGGAGTGGCCACCTAGAGGAGTCAAGATAGCATCACTAAAAAAAAAAAAAAAAGATGGCTTCACTGGGCCTCACAGGCACCGGGGCCAAGCTCTGAAGGCAAAGAGGTGAGGAGGGCTGGGCAGTCATTCAGGTAGAGAATGGCACCAGCAAAAGCCTGACAGGTGCTCTGGCCCCCAGGAAATGCCAAGGCCACCAACTTGCAAGGGGTAGAGGAATCCATAGTGGGAAAGGTCAAAGGAGGCTTTCATATCGTAAGAGGTAGGGTCCTAGAGGGGCTCAGGCCAGCTCTATGAAGCCCAGATGTCGCTGACCCTAGAAAACCCCAGCCTCCGTGTGTCCCCTGCTTTGGGCCCCAAGTACCTCTCCAGGCTGGCTACCCGCAAAGAGGTGGCAGAAGAGTCTGCTGGCTGGGCTTCGTGGGTTCCGGGCAACAAAGGCAAACTGGCAGCGGGCTGGGCTCCAGGTAGAGTAGAGGATGCGTCGCAGGCCATGAGCCATCAGGAGTGCCTGGGAGCAGTGTTGCCAGGCCACATCAGGCGCCTGACCTCCAACCAGGGCCACCTCACCTCTTGCCCAAGGCTGTCCCTTCCACAGCCTCCACGCAGGGCAGAACTGAGTTCCCTGATGTCAGAGGCCAAGAGTGCACCCTGGAGATTTCTGAAGGGCAAGGGTAAAGGGGACCCTCCAGGAGGCTCTCAGAGCAGATGGATGGGGGCTCAGCTGGGCCCCACAGAGGACACACCTGTGCCTGTCTAGCTTCCCACACCTTTGCCAGCTCCTCCTACCTCTCCTTCCCCGCTGTAGATCTTGAGACCCTGCAGATTGAATTTCAGGATGACCGCTCGGCGTCGGGGACAGTCCTGGGTGGAAGGGGGGTGGTGGAGGAATGCATTATTCCCTCCCCACCTTTGCCAGGGTACAGAGCCCAGGGCACCAGATGCTTAGAATTTGGGAATGGGGATGGCTCCAAGCAGAATACCACCCCCCAACCAGGTCACAGCTCCCATTCCACCTATAGCTTCTAGCTGTAGGGTGTACATTGAGGCAGCCCCAAGGAAGTTCTGGGCATGAGGGCCTGGGTGTAAATGCTCTCTGCTGTCCCCTGACCACCTTTATGAGAGGGAAGTGTCTGCGTCTGGTCTCAGGGCTGTGACCCCGTGGGGATTCGACCCCTCACCTTCAGTGCCCACAGCTGCTGCCGCACCAGCCACACGCTCTCCTGTGTATCCAGATCATCCACAGGGAAGGAGCCCACATACTGCAAGGCACCAGGCAGAAGGGAAAAAGGGGAGTCAGGCCGTTTCTCTGACCCCCAGCCCCGATACACACATGCTCTGCCACCAAAGAAGCTGGGGCAGGGCAGAGCAGGGCACCACCTTTGGGGCCTAGCCTCTGCCACTATCCCAATAGGTGACCTTGGTCAGGTGACTCCAGACCCCTCCCTCTGTACAGGGCACATTGCAAGGCCTGGGCCAGAGGGAGGACCTTTCTCCACCTGCTCACTACCCCCAGGAGCAGCCTCCAGGGACCACGGGACAGGGCACACCCACCTGGGCAAATTTGGTGATACACCTGGGCCGGTAAGGGGTGGGCCCACAATCTGAGGCCCTGCGGCCACCTGCCCCAGCCCTCTGCATGGCCCCCAGGGTGGCGGCTTCAGGCTCCACGGAGACAAGGCTGCAAAGGGCAGGGACAAACTCAGTTTTCAGGTGGGTGGGGTTCAGTGCTCCCCAGTCAGCCTGGCCAGTTTGTTCACTCATTCATTTATCTCACAAATCCTTGCTCAGTACCCTCTACATGCCTGCATTGTCCTGGGCACTGGAGGCGCAGCCCTGGAGAAATGGTGAAGGCTGCTTACCTTCCCAGGTCAACATTCTCATCAGGGAGAGACAGGAAACTACATGAGGGCTTGAATGGAGACAAAGCAGGGGAGAGGACAGGAAAGGCCACATGGGGGCTGCTGGGGACGCTTCTGGGGAAAGAGCTGGGCGTGCCCGGGAGGCTGTACAGCTGTGCAAGTGCTCTGGACTGGAACTGCAGAGCAGACGAAGACCCTGGGGCTGAAGTCAGGGGTGCAGACCTGTAACCAGCAGGTCACAGTGCTTGCTGGGTATGTGCCTGTAGTTCTAGCTACCAGGGAGGCTGAGGCAAGTGGCTTATCTGAGTTCAGGAATCTGAGGCTACGTTAGGCAAAAACAGCCAGATCCCATCTCAAAAAAGAAAAAGAGGAACCAGGGAAAGGACGGAGGCTGGGAAGGCCCATCACAAAGGATAGGCTAGGGCACAGCAGTAACAGCCAAGTGCTCTGCAGAGGTACAAAGGCAGGCAAGCAGCTGCAGCCTTTAGGCAGACCTTGCCCAAACAGCAGGCTGGATCTAATTTACCATCCACCTCAAATGTCAGACAAGGAAATTTAGGCTCTGCCCTGTGGCAGCAGGGAGCCACAGCAAGCTACAGTGCAGGAACAGTCCATGGGGGAGGCCATGAGCTGGAAGGCCAGAGCTGACGAGACTGGGGACTCATTTTGCAGGCCACTGCCTCTTTGGGGGCCACCCTGACTTCAGCCTGTTCCCTAAATCCCCAATCACTGGTAGCTTCTGAAAACCAGACAAGGCACTGAGTTAGGATATGAAGAAGTTAGAACACTGCCCTGCTCCTTCCTGGGAGTCCCTGTATGCTCCTTCCTGGAAGCTAGTGAGGACAGGAGATTTCCCTTCCGAGACAGCCCTCAAGGGCAGGGGAGCACTTACTCTCCTTTAGAGCCCAAGACCCCAGCTGGTGCTCAATAAATGTGAAATGAACGCATCCAGGACCAGCGATAACAGAAAGAACGGGGGAACGCCTCCACCATGGTCCCGGAGGACTCAGTTCCCTCAGCCTTTACCACAGTCAATTTGGATGCTCCCTCTGCCCCCTCCTGGCCGGCTCGCAGCAGCCGATCTGTAATCACTGGGGCGATTCTGGCCCAGCTGCCTGGCCTCTCCTGCCCCCATTTCATCAGCAACCCTGGGACAATGTGAAGAGCAGGGACTCAACACAATGCTAGCCAGGCTCCGGCAAGGGCTCAGCAAACATAGTCTCAATGGGGACTCTCAGGAAGCAACTGGGGGAGACAGCAGGGTCTGGCCACTTTCAGTGCCCTCCTTGCCTAGGAGGCACCCAGTGCGTGAGTGCCTAAGGCAAGGGAGGCCAGGGGTCTGGGGACCAAGAGAGAGCAGGGGTCAAACAGGGAAGGGTGCGACTCGCATGACCCACACGACCCAGACTGACATGCTGCTTGCAAGGGCTACTCTTAGCCAGGAGGAAGTGACCTCTGCCTTCCCATGACCCACAAGCCCAGGCTCAGGCCAGGGTACACATGTGGGCAGCTGTCTGTGCCTTTCAAGGAGTGGCCAGCCAGCACAGGAAGAGCTGAAAAACAAAGACCCCTTGAAGCCTTTCCTGGTCCCCCATTCTGTACCCTCCTGTTTTTCGGGGCCATCCCAGCCTCCACTTTCCCCAGCTGAACTCAGGACCTTGGGCTTGCCAGGCAGGCGCTAGTGATGCTGAGCCTGAGCCCTAGCCCCAGCTCCAGTCCCAGCCCCAGCCCCCAGCCTCCACTTTCTGATCCTGATCATTTTTCACATCATGTCCTTTCCCTATTGTATGTTTGATGTTCACATAAAACGAAGTTAGATGTTTCACTGACCCTACAGCCACGTGACGTTGGCCTCAGGTGAGGAGAGGGGGGTCTCAGAGAAGCTGCCTTTTAACTTGATCATCACACCGCGGGGTGCTCCTGGCTGCAGGGAGCGAGGAGGCAGGGACAAAAAACAAGCACCGGGTGGAGGGGGAAAGGATGGAAAGACCCCTGGGAACAGAAGCAGGAACAGAGGGGGCTAGAGGACAAAAGCAAAAGAGATAAAGAGGGAGGAGAGGGAGTGACGATCAAGAGCAGCTTTCATACCTTGCTGGCGCCAGGCACCTTTCAGGCAGAGAGCCACCGGGGTCAGCACTCACCTCACGGTCACACATAGACAGTGGCCTCACTTCTACCAGAAAATCAGCCAAAGGCCCTCCGGGCCACTTCCCACCTCATCCCTTGGGTCCTCAGCCTCCCTAAAGCCCGCATCCCCACCTCCTAGCCGCAGCCGCCCAAGCCTGAAGCCACAGTGCATTTTGCCCCCAGGGCTGGAATGGTTGGGTCTCACGGAGCTCTGGTAACACAGGGCTTCCATCCCCTGATCTCTGGGAGCAGAGAGAAGTTCTACTTAAGAACTGACTGCTCAGCACCTCCCCAAGATTACAGTTGGCAAGAGGTGGGTGCGCTCAGGTCCCTCCGAGGTTTTCCAGGAGGCTCTGCGTAGAAGCAGGGACTGGACAAGTCAGTCGCCCTTCCCGATTTCACGCGCCGGGCCCTGTGCAGCACTGTGCCAGAGTTGCACATGTCACTGGAGGGGCCACCTCCCCGTGTCCTGCGCTCAGCCCAGGGTGGCCTAAATAGGAAGGCACAACATGCGCGAGAGGAGACTTTGGGGGCAAGCTCGGGACTCTTCCCCTAGGCCCTCCTCCCCAAGTAAGCAGGCGCCCACCCTGGAGTCCGGGGACTGCCAGTCTGCCCCAATGGAGGAGGGGAGGAAGAAGCCACTGGGGCACAGATCTGACCAGCTACCAGCTGCTCGCCCTCGCTGGCGGTCCCTGCCAAATGCTCCGGGGCTGCTCCAGCCAGCAGCCTGGTTCTCACGGTCACAACACACCCCCTAGGCCACCTCCGCCGGCCCCTGCCAGTGCAGACAGGGACGCAGATTTTGGAGTCCAAAATGTTGGCCGCTGTGACCCCGCGCACAAATCTCCTCTCTCCTCTTCCAGAGCCTTTTCTGGGATTACGCACTGGTCTTTTCCTCCCGAGGACGCGCACGAATGGACTCAGTCCCAGCCCTCCCTGAGGCTGGCGACAGTCAAGGGGGTTTGAGCGACCCGGATCGAGAAGCGGGCGAGTACAGGGGTTGAGCTTCTCAGTGTGCGGGGTCGAGGCCGCGGCCCCACGGTGACACCTGGCGCGCAGGCCGGCATGAGCTAGGCGCGTGGGCTGCGCACCCATGAGAGCATCCAGGAGGGGACCGGAAAGCGGGAGGAGACGCGTGTCAGGCTCCCGAAACCCGGCACCTTCGCGCCCGGAACACCACTGCCCTGCCCGCGCCTTTCGGCGCTTTCTCACCGCTCCTGCCGCACCTCCGCCGCGAGTCCCCGCCTGATAGCTGCTGGCCCGCGGCCCCGCGCAGCCCCAAGCTCTCTAGAGCCGTCGCCCCCGCGCCGCGCGCCCCCAACGTGGCCGCGGGAACCTACCCCGGCACCACCTGGCGGCCGCTCCGGGCTCTCCCTCCAATCGGCGTCCTCAGAGCCTCTCCGCTCGGCGCTCTGCCCAATCAGAGGTAGAGAGGCTCTCTGGCACCGCCCACTCCGCCTGCGCCCCCGACGCTCCGCCTTAAAGGGCCGGGGGCGCATCCTCCTTCCTCCGGGTGCTCTAGGGCTCTGATGCTTCAGGGCCAAGCTGGCTGATCTGCATTTCTGTAGAGCCTCATCCCCTGCTCCTCCTGTCACCCGGACGGCGACTTCTGCAGTGCCTCCTCCGAGAAGCCTTCCCTAACCACCGGGCTGCACTGTACGGTGTCCCTTGGCACGCCTGCTGTCTCTCTTCCTCGAGAGCGAGTGGCCCAGGACGGACGTTCTTCTTGCCCAGCGCAGGACAGCGCGGGGTCACAGAAGCATTTAGGGTTGGTGGCTTTGATCTGGGCTTTGGGCCTGCCGGTCCGCTGTCACCTTCCTCCTGACCAGGGGTGTCGAGCATCCTCTTCCCGCCTGGCCGCACTCAGGCGTGAACGGAGCCCTCCAACTCCGGGCTTCGCACGGAGCAGTGTCCCTGTCCTTCGGACCACGCGGAAATCCAGAGATGGGGGAGTGTCAGCTTTTTCAACAGGCGCCCCGCAAGGGCTAAAAAATAAACAGCTAATCTGAGTGACCAAGCTTTTGGGGTGCAGTAAACCTGAAATCTGCAGAGAAAGCTCCAGAAACTGCCTATGCATGGGTACGCGGAGACGGACGCTGGGCGCAGGGGAAGCGCTACAGAGACAAGCGGACCTGGGCTGGAGCCTGGGACCTCCGGAAGAGGCGGCAGGAGACATAGCCTTCTCGTCCCAGAACGCCCGGAAGCCGCTGTGAGATGTCCACGGCTTGGTCTGCACTGGGCGCTTCCTCTTACTAGGGGAAGCCGGCACCTGAATCACCTCAACCCTCAGGGTCTGGCTGCAAAGTAGGATTAGCGGGGCCTGACTCAGCCGCAGAGGGAACACCGGAGCCAAAGAGGGCAAAGGGCGTGGCCCAGCGCCAGCCCCAAGGCAGCGAACCGCTCAGTAAATATTGGCTGAGAGTAGCCTTCGCACCCGTTCTTCAGTTTCTCTTGTATGTTACTGAACCCCAAATGTTTACTGAATCAACACATCAAGTGCTCTGGGAAATAGCCTCACTGTGGGTGGCTGCCGCAGAGCACCAAAAGAAGGCGCAAGGTGCTCTGTCAGTTGGTCTTGCCCTCCACAAATCCAATTTCGGAAACAGGATACACAAAAATTAAAGGATTTACCAGGCTTGACCGCGTCCACCT